GTGGCGTGGGAGCACTCTCACCACCTAAGAAAATAAAACGTATGTAAAACTCATTAACACACTTGAAAAGAAATGGGAGTAGCTTAGAGGATGAATTATCTTTGTATTGATGTCAAAATTACCTGGGTTGTGTCCACAGCAGTCCTGGACAGAGGAAAGATGCCAGCCTGGCGGGACCCGGCCTTGATGTTTTGGGCTGTGACAGCAGTGGGGTACACATGTTTGAGGAGAGCTGAAAACTGCTTCTTCCCCACAACAATGTCCCTTCGCACCAGACCCATCCTGGAAACCAATGGTGGAGAAAGCAGTCTTCAGTGGGTTGAAGACCGCAATATCGAGGGGCTGAAGTATGTGTGTGGTGTGAGCAGGTAGGCAGAGAATTTCAATCTTGTTTTCTCTGCAAAACATGATTACGTCTTTTGAGACATGTGTCTCGTGTTGGTCCATGATTAAAATTAGTGGTCTCTCCTCGGGAGCATATCTGATAAAATGGTGGAGCCATTTCAGGAAGAGCTCGGAGTCCATGTAACCCTTCTCCTGGATGCCATAGAGGCCGTTGGGGGGCCCATCCAGCCTATTACTTGGGAGGCAGCCGGGGTAAATGATGAAAGGTGGAATGCTGTCGCCAGCTGCATTCACACAGCAGTGGACCGTGATGTGCTCCCTGGTTGTCTGCTGCTGTTGATAGACATGTTTCCTTCCAGTCTGGCACAGGACCTTCTCCCTGGACCGAGGCTTGTCTCCAAAGCCAGTCTCATCACAATTATAGATGAGATGTGGCTTGTTCTCCAGCTTGTGCTTCACATAAAGGGCCTCGTACAATTTGAAGAATGCCTCAATGGCCTCCGGTGTAGCACCATGGACTCTGGCTCTGTCCAGGGAATCTGCCGTCCTTGAGGCCAATTCTGGATGGACGGCCTTGAACCTGGACCACTAGACATCACTTGGCCCTTCTCCAGATTTACAGTAGTGGTCTCGGTTCTGCCACTCTCCTTGATGATCCCAACACTGGAAAGCCATGGTCTGCCATCCAGAATATAAAGGAAAGGAGAGCCTCTTCCTCTCCAGGTGTCAGGGCCGAATTAGGATGAGGGTTGTGGACATAGTAATTGTTTTATAGTCCTGTAGAGTGGTGTGGGGAATGCCAATTTTTTTTGCTGTTGCCCTTAAACTTGCTCCTGCCTTTACTTCCTCAACTGCCTCCTTTAACTTCTCCTTTGAGTATTGTTTTTTCTTTCCTGACATCTTTCTTTTGCTTTACTGACTTTCCTTTGAAATATGATATTATGTTAATCATATTGAGTTAAACTTAACTTAAAATTATTGTTTATAAAATTGTTTATATTCACAAAGTTTTGTAATTGTGTTAACTTGATGTATGAAATCTTATCTCTAGATTTACGGTGGTGGTCTCGGTTCTGCCACTCTCTTTAATGATCCCAACAGCCAGAACTTTGACAAGGGATCTTGTCACTGGGAAGCCATGGTCTGCCATCCAGAATATAAAGGAAAGGAGAGCCTCTTCCTCTCCAGGTGTCAGGGCCGAATTAGGATGAGGGTTGTGGACATACTTATTTTTTTATAGTCCTGCAGAGTGGTGTGGGGAATGACAAATTGTTTTGCTGTTTCCCTTAAACTTGCTCCTGCCTTTACTTCCTCAACTGCCTCCTTTAACTTCTCCTTTGAGTACTGTTTTTTCTTTCTTTTGCTTTACTGACTTTCCTTTGAAATATGATATTATGTTAATCATATTGAGTTAAACTTAACTTAAAATTATTGTTTATAAAATTGTTTATATTCACAAAGTTTTGTAATTGTGTTAACTTGATGTATGAAATCTTATTAAATAACTTAAATGTCTGAATATCCTATCATTGTGTTTAACTTTAAGTTAGTGTTAAGTTAAATAACTTCATGAAAATTTGACAATGAAATAACACAATCAATTGAGTTTTAGTTCGTTTAATTTGTTAAAGCATGACAATTAAAAATGTTAAAAAATTTAATTCATGTAAGTTAACGCTAACTTAATTGATCCTTTATGAATATAAACATCACTGCGCGCAGGATGATGGGCAAACAGCGTCTTCTGTCAGTCTCAGGCGGAGAGTGGCGCCAAGTGGTCATCGCCCACAATTGACGTTTAAATATTCCCATTTCAAAGCATTTATTCAACAAAAGGTAATTTATTTAACAATTTGTGATAACATAATATTCATTTCATAAAGACTGTAATACTGTGAGAAGCATAAATTAAATAGAAATGTACATTTTCGCTGCTCTAGCTGTCTCCCCACCCAAGCTGCAGTCTTGAAGTGTAGCTTGCTCACCGTCCATTTTCAAGCGCAGTGGGC